CGAGACCCCGCCCCCGTGATTGGTCCCTATTCGACTTCAGGATCGCGGCCACGCCCCCCGAGACCCTGACCTGGCCCAGGTCTCTCCAGGGACCCCGGTCCCGCCCCCAGCCCGCAGGTCCCGGAGCCCAGCAGCCCCTGAGCACTCGCCCGGCCGCCGCCGGTGACGAAGATGCCACCGCTGTGCCGGCGTCCGGGCCGCCGCGTCCTTCTTCTCCTACTGGCCATGCTGCTGCCCTCGTCACCCCCGGCCCGCGCCCCCGCGCCCCCGGGCCCCGCCGCAGCCCTACTCCAGGCTCTCGGGTTTCCCGACGTGCCCCGGGGCGCCCCCAAGTCCCGGCCTGTACCCCCTGTCATGTGGCGCCTGTTCCGCCGCCGGGACCACCAGGAGGCCAGGGCGGGCCCTCGGAGGACGCCCCTGGGGACTACCCTGCGGCCGTGCCACGTGGAGGAGCTGGGGGTCGCCGGAAACATCGTGCGCCACGTTCCGGACCGCGGTGAGTGGGGTCTGCGCTGGGGGCGTGGGTCTGAGAGGCCGATGCCCTGCTGGGCGCCCCGAGCCCGCCACGAGCCTCCAGCGGCGCGTGAGAAGGCCGGAGAGCCCTGAGGGTCGCCGCCCTCCCCGTCCAGCCCGCAAGCAACCTGGGCCTCTGAACTCCCTCAGCTCCTCCGCGTGGACACCTGCCGGGACAGGGGATGGGGTGGGGGAGTGGTCCGAAGGCCAGGCTCCCTACCACCGAGCAGGGCCCCTTGCTTGCAGCTGAAGCCCTGCCCCCACTCCATCCCACCCCCTCTGCCGCTTCACACCACTTGATGCCTTCCTGCAGATGCCACCCGCCCTAGCATCGCTTCCCCACTGGCCCCATGCGTTCGCTCATTCCCCCCCGCCACCTCCCCACCCCCGCCTATGTCCCCACCGGCGGGCTGGCCGCCCTACAGTGGTCGGGGCCTCTTCCTTGCAAGTGACGCCCTGCCCCCACTCCATCTCCCTCACCCACCGCCGCTTCACACCATTTGACGCCTTCTAACAGATGGTGCGACCCCCAGCTCCGGCCTCTCACCTTACCCCGCTGTCCCCAACCAAGACCCATTCGCGGGCCGGTCGGCACCGAGTGGGGACCCAGCGCCAGCCGAGCCCTCTCCCTTCCTCCCCAGGCGCGGCCGCCCGGCCCCCGGAGCCCGCCTCAGCTGCGGGACAGTGCCCTGAGTGGACCGTCGTCTTCGACCTGTCGGCCGTGGAGCCAGCCGAGCGCCCGAGCCAGGCCCGCCTGGAGCTGCGCTTCGCGGCTGCAGAGGCGACAGCTGGGACGGCGGGCGGCTGGGAGCTGAGCGTGGCGCCGGCGGGCGCGGGCCCCGGGCAGGTGGTGCTCCGCCAGGCGGTGCCCGCCCTGGGAATGCCGGTGCGCGCCGAGCTGCTGGGCGCCGCCTGGGCCCGCAACACCTCGGCGCCGCGCAGCCTCCGCCTGACGCTGGCGCTGCGTCCCCGGGCTCCCGCCGCCTGCGCGAGCCTGGCCGAGGCCTCGCTGCTGCTGGTGACCCTCGACCCACGCCTGTGCCACCCCCTGGCCCGGCCGCGGCGCGAGGCCGAGCCCGCAGGGGGCGGCGGCCCCGGGGGCGCGTGTCGCGCGCGGCGACTCTACGTGAGCTTCCGCGAGGTGGGCTGGCACCGCTGGGTCATCGCGCCACGCGGCTTCCTGGCCAACTACTGCCAGGGCAAGTGCGGGCTGCCCGCCGCGCTGTCCGAACCCGGCGGGACGCCCGCGCTCAACCACGCGGTGCTGCGCGCGCTCATGCACGCGGCCGCCCCTAGCGCCGCCGCCGGCCTGCCCTGCTGCGTGCCCGCGCGCCTGTCGCCCATCTCCGTGCTCTTCTTCGACAACAGCGACAACGTGGTACTGCGGCACTACGAAGACATGGTGGTGGATGAGTGCGGCTGCCGCTGACCGGGGGCGGGCGGGAGAGGGCAACAATAAACACTGCGTGGTCCGCTCTGCTGCCTTCTCGGGTCTTCTCACCTGGGAGTGGGGAGGGAAGCAGCTATGTCCATCACCATCGACCACCAGGATGGTGGGTGGGGGTCCTACAGTGACGCCGCCGGCGCAGCCTTCCCAGAACCCATCTCTAGGGGGCCCAAAGTCTAATGTACACGGGCCCCAGGAACTGACCCTGCGAAGGCCCAGCTTCCCCCACTCCAGTCCCTGCTGCACAGGTTTGGCTCATCTCAGCTTTGCCGTTGAGGTGGCTCCGAATCCCCCACCCCCAACCAGGCAGAACCCCAAACCAAGTGCTCTGCCACCCCCTGTAGTTATCCAACCCCAGAGTGAATGCAGAGCTGTTTTATTAAGATTTTATTGGTGACAAAAGAAGTTAAAACAAATTGACCGAAAATCAAAAAGTTACATTGCCTTGGTACAGATGCTTCTTGATTTGGGGGACTCATAGCAACTGTTGCTAAGGTGGAGAAAAAAGCAAACAGCACAAAGCAGAGGCAAAGCATTCCAAGGAACAGAACAGGGTGGGTGGGTGTGTCACCCATGGGGACAGTGCACAAGGGGTCATAGCAAAAACCTATCCAAACTCTATGCAGCTACCAAAAGAAGTGGGAACCGAAAGCACTACAGCAATGGTAATAAATAAGAGGCCTTGCCAGAAGGAAGGTGGCCTGTGTGTCCCCCATCTCTCCCATGTACCAGCTGGAATCTGGAGGCTTTGGGATAAGGCACATGGGGAGGGGGATGCTGGGGGTCAGGGTCATCAGGGCCTGGATAGGCAGGGTTAGGGTTAGACAGTCCCCAACTAGGTCCTGCCAGGGAGGCTAATCCCCATCACGGTGTGCGAAGAGCTGGGGGTGACTCCACCAGCAACAATAAATGCAGTTGCAACCCAGACCCAGGCAGAGGCCTCTTGTACCACGTGATGTGACAACTCCCTCAAGCCCTTCGGCACAGAACCAACTTATTTCAGAAACGTATTCCCTTTCCCCGCCAAAGTTAAAATGACCCCACCTCATCAAAACTGTGCCCACAGGTAGAAGGGCTCCAAACTAGTCAGGTAGGGTGGGGAACAACAAGACGGGATGGGGCATTCAGTGAGCCTCACTGGCCACAGCAACGGTGGGAGCCTCCCTGGGAACGGGGACAGATCCTCCTGGCTGGTGCTTTCCACCAAATCCTCAGGAAGGACCCTGGGGAAGGAGCCACTGGCCAGGGAACTGCCACCTTCCTGCCCTCTGGCCTCATGGCCAGTCCTGCCCGAGGCCCCTCCTGCGGGGCCGAGTCCACGGCACACGGGAAGCGCTTTGCTTCTCGGAGTCCAGCAGAGACCACGGAGTCGCCTGCCCGGCCCGGGACCACGCTCCCTCACTGCCCTGACGTACAGGGAGAAGCTGCTGGAAGCTAAAACTGAAAAAAAAAAATCCTCCTCCCGTCACAGATGTTGATCCTAATCTTGAGTTGTTTTGGCATGTTTAAACTTCGTTTCTGGAAGCTTCTCGCATCTCCCAGGTCCACCACTAAGATTTGAGAGACAAATTCAGGAAAGTATATTTTTCAGTACTCCTTTGAAAGAATCTTTAAAAAACAAACAGAAAAACACAAACCACCGTATTTTCTTTAAATGAAAACCCTCCTAGAACACAGGCAGTGTGAGCGCGGCGATATCAGAGCCAGCGTGGACAGAACCCACACTCTGAGGGGCTCTCCCGGCACAGCCGCCACTGCAAGGAGCCTGCTCGGCACAGAAACGCGTAGTTTTTCCTGCTAAAACGTAGTCCCCTTTCAATAAAAGAGAAAAAGAAAGAAAAGAACAGAGGAAAGGGCTACTCTGAGATGAGGGTCTTCCTCCCTCCGCCCTGGTCGCAGACCCAGGTGTGGACGCAGCGGGCGAGCGCTGGGCTCCTCGGCGAGCGGGGCTGGCGGGGCTCGCTGGCGGGCGGTCCTCCGTGGCCGCCCCACCTCCCGCTCTCCCTTCTCCGTCTCCTCGCCGCCACGTGCCAGCAGTGGGCGCTCGCTCTGTCTCGGGCTCCTCTCTCCCTCGGGTACTCCTCTCCCTCTCCTGTTGCTCACAGTGGTGCTTCAGTTTTAGCAGTGGAAAACAGGTATCCATTTATTTTTATTTTTTATTACCCAGAATAAGATGCTGATGGACTAAGCCACGTAGCTTAGCTCTTCCGCTGCCACCTATTGGGGAGGGAGGGAGGGCAAGAGGCTTCAGAGAAAGTGGGAGCCGGGGCAGCTCCCAGGCCTGGCCCAGACGGCACGGACGGGGCTTTCTCCCCGACTCCACTTGGCACCTGCGTCCTCATGTGTTAAACATGACCTCAGAGGCCGCCTGGGTACCCAGACCAATGACTTCCCACCCGGAAAGAAGGCAGCCAAGAGTTAAGGCTGCTGAGCCTGTGTTGTTCAACAGCGGTACGCCCCTTCTCCCAGCATCACTGCATCCCACTTTCCTTGCACACAGTCAGGAAGGGGCAGAGGGGCAAGCCCCAGGCCTATGCTTGCCCTGCTCGGCCTCGTTACAGATGGAGAACCGTGAGGCAGGGTCCTCGCGGGCACCTAGAAGCACCCCCAGAGGCACCCGTGCACCTAGGAGCTGGGGCCCTCGCCACCCTCATGACCTGCCTCGTCAGGGCGAGGAGTACGTCCACTTCCTGGCTGCCCACCAGGAGCAGCTCTAAGACTCTCTCTGGAGAGGACCGTGGCACAGACGGTGTGCATGAAGTTCACATCCCCCAGACACTAAGCAGAGGTGCAGGGACCCAGAGTGACAGGTGACAGGATGCACTGGCCCCTCGAGGACTTGAGACTCCCACATTTCCCAAATTTTCCTACAAGTCCAGATCCCAGCGAAGACCTCCTCCAGAGGCCAGCTTGCCTTCTAATACTGGGACAGCCCCGTCACTCCGCCGTGCTGGTACGCCCGCTCCCCCTGGTACGTGGAGTCTTGCGACAGCGCCACATCAATCTGTGACTTAAACTCATCTCCAAGGTAACTGTCCTGGAAGACAAGGTTGGAGAGATGAGCACCCAGTCGAAGGATGCGCACTCACCCTCCCAGCCTTGAGAACCTGCTCTGCGTCCAGCCCATCACCAGCCGCAGGGAATAATCTGGAAACTTACCCTCAAGCCTAAGTGGCAGGAAACCCACACTGGTTACTTCACCATTGGAGACACGCTACCCAGGACAGTATTGTGGATGGAATGTTCTAGACCTACAGTCCCCCTGCTAAGGTCTTTAGGGGTGAGTGTCATGGGGTCTGCATGTGTGAAGAGGGCTCCCTGGGCTGGTCTGACTTTTCTGTGGGTGGGAGACGTCTCAAGTTAAAGTGGCAGAGGGCTCACCTGGGACAGCTCAGGCTGGGAGAGGCCGGGCTGACTCATCTGGGAGGGCTGGCTCATGGAGATGTAGCCCTGGGTCAGAGCACCCTGTGAGAAGGGCTGTGACGCCACATCCTGGCTGGCCTGGCTATTGGGGAGATTCGTCTGGCTGGGCCCAGGAAGCCCAAAGCGGTTCTTCTGGCGTCCCCCACGACCAGTCTTGCCTTTTGGGGTGCCCCGGCCTGAAAGACAGTCATCCAGGGTTCCTTGAACGAGGTTCTGAGCCTCACAGACAAGCACTCCTGCTCAAAGCCCGGATGTGAACAAACTCCAAGGCCAAACTGCTTTTCCCCATGGGACGCCACTCGGTGCTCACCTGCGGCTGGCCCATTAGCTTGTCCAAAATACCCCGGTGGCGGCATGGGCGGCATGACCAGGTTGAAGGGGATGGGAATGTTCATGGCAGCCACGTGGCTGGGGCCAGCACTGATCATGCCAATCTGGTCATGGGTCTGGAAGTACATGTTCGAGGGCCGGCCTATAAGACACAAGGTGAACGGCAGGCATCATACTGCGTCCAGAGGAGTCTGTTGCCTGCCCATAGCTGAAATGTCTGTTTGGTCCCGTCACTGCTTTGTCTGCCCCAGCGTTTCTTGGTGCATCCCTAACAGCAAAGTCACCTGATGCAGAATCTCACAACTCAACCCCCTCCCACTCCCTGCGCCCAATAGCCTCCTTGAGGCTGGTGCCTGGGAAGGCACCTTTTCTCCCAGGGGATTCTGACAATCACTGGCCCATGGGGATCTGAAAAACTGAAACCACTATGCATTTCTAATTTCTTAAAAAAAAAAACCATTTGTGGCAAATGTTATATTCATATTACATGCTACCACTGCCACCCTGCCACCCCCCAATCAAAAGAAAAAGACCAAGCTTGATAGACCAGCAGATCTCACTGAAAGCAAAAGCCCCCAGGGCAACCTTGGGTGTAGCCAGACCCACGGTGGCATCAGGGATGAAGTATGGACCCAGGAAACCCCCAGCCACACGGGGACTCGTCAGATATGGCGATAAGAGATCTGTTGTTCTTCAAGAACACAATCCCTGGGACTTTCCCTGTGGTGCAGTGGTTAAGACTCTGCGCTCCCAGTGCAGGGGGCCCAGGTTCGATCCCAGGTCAGGGAACTAGATCCCACATGCATGCTGCAACTAAGAGCTCGCATGCTGCAACTAAGGAGCCCATGTGCTACAACTAACGAGCCTGTTTGCCACAACCAAGACCCAGCGCAACCAAATAAAAGTAAATAAATAAATATTTAAACAGACAAAAACAAACAAAAAAACACAATCCCCTGTCTGAGCCCAGGGATAGGGAGAACACTGGGGCAGGGAAAGGGGCCTTGCCAATTTAATGTGGAAAAGGAGCAGCTGAGGTGCGCCTGCCCTCAGGGTGAGTGGCAAGCACATGAGAGGTTTAAGGCCAATGTGAAACTCGGGGAGGTGGCACAGAGTCATGGGTGAGGCAGTCACCCTCCATGCAGGCTGGTGCAGGGAAGGGTCCCAGGAGGCAGGGACCTGGGGAACAAATGGGAACCGTCTACAGACGGGCTCAGGCAAGAGTCGTCATCCCAGGCAGCAGGATAAGGCTCAGCCTCAGTACATACAGAAGCCTCACATAGGAAAAGTGGGCATGCGCAACCCTGAGGTCTGACAGATGGAGCTGAAGCTTGGGGAAGCCGTGAAACCTGAAATGAGGCGGTGGATGTGACACCCCCACTGAGAAGGCGAGCAAAGGGCAGGTAGGGTGGGGTGTGAGCACAGGGGCAAACTGGCTGAGCTGCGGTTATTTGTTGAGAAACCGCTGTCCATTGAGCTGTATTATTTTAAAAACATCTGGTTTTTAGACACAGCCAAAGACCAATTATTTGATTTCTGACAAGGGAAGCTGAGAAGACTCTGTCAAGCAGGCTTCTGTGGACCAAGGCTTGGGAGGCCACTCCAGGAGTAACAGGGCTGGAAGCTGTGGGCGTGGGAACTGTCAACAACTGTGGGGCCGGGCCGGTCCCCTGCAGAGACTCACCCTGGCTGCTCCGGTCATAGACCGATCCTGGGATGATGGCCTCCCGAGCATCATACATGGCTGTTGTCATGAAGCGGGCTCCCTGCAAAGGGTTTAGATAAGTGAGGAATTTATCATGTTGACACAAGGAAGAACTTCCAAAGATCTGGTGGCCTGGGAGGTGGCCAGGCTGCACCGAGGACTACCCCGAGGCTTGCCGGCTTTGGGCCTTGTGTGCTTTGGGCCTTGCCTGCCCCTCCTCACCTGGCCTGGTCTTTGTTGCCAAACATTTCCATCTCTGGGCTTCAGCTCAAGCAGCATCCACTCCCTAGGCCCCCAGAGCACCTTGGGTTTGCCAAGTTCCCTAACTGCTTGGGTCTGACCCCTAGGTGCCACCTGTGACGTAGCGTCCCATGAAGTCCAAGGCCAGAAAGGCCTCAGAACAGCGGGGAGACCTGGCGTGGGGGGGCTCTGTGGGGACAGACCGGCATGCATGGCTCCTGTTCACACACTGACACTCTCGGCGCACCCTCAGCTCACACTAGTCACGTGTCACACCTGCCATCGCTCACTGCCACGTGCCCGGAACACTGGCTTGGGGAGGACGGGGTTCCCAGCAGTCTCCTCCCCACCTCCCCGCCCCCTGCCCGCGGCCAGCCCTCACCGGGTTGATGGTGTTGACCAGCTTCCTGGGCTTGCTGAACTGCATGAGGCTCTCTCGCAGGTTGTTCAGCGGCCCCTCCACCAGCAC